TGCTGATAACAAAGAGATAAAGACCGTCTTACTGCTTAAAACCAGTCATTCAACACTCTGAATCTGTACTTTATTTAAAAGGTTTTATTTTTGACGTTTGACACACATGGTCACTAAATCAGTGGATGTATTTACATTTATTTCGAAATCAAACCAATTCACTGGATATTGGTAGGGACATGACCTGCTATGTCTTCGGATGATATTTGACTGTCACTGTAGTATCCGTGTACAATGAGTTCTTCAAGACTTGCTCTAAAGTGTGTTTTTACACTTGATACCAGAATGTGCCACTAGATGGCAGTCTATGAGAGCATATTCAGTAAATGGAGGCCCACAACAATGGCATCTTTTAAAGTATTCTTCTATTCACTTTGATGAAAGAAGTATGTATCATATTGCTGAATGTACCCTTAGGCATGGTAAAGCAGTGTGTTCAACTGTTTAAAGAGTTACCGCTCACACCCAAACCGCAGGTCATTCAAATCCAATAATCTCTTGCTTCTGTTTGGACACTCCCAGTTTGAGTCAATATACTGTAGGCTACAATAGATTTTGCATGAATGCTTAGTTTCAAAGCAAATAGAACAACTGGGTTTCAAACAAACTTGAAGAAAAATATTTAATGCAATAGTGATCAGCCAAACACAGAAAATGCACTGAATGAGTTTTGTTTTCACTAAAGGAGTGTTTCATGCTCTGAATATACACAGCCACTGTACAGCCTTCGTAACAGGTTGTAGGCTACTAATGACAACAATGATAAGGGGACGCAAAAAGAGATTTTAAGTACAAAAAGAGAGCAGATGCACTATGCTGTTTTTACCTCACTCTTCAGCCTTGTGCTTTTTATAGTGTGGAAACTACAGTTCAACAGTGTTGTCAAAATACAGAAAATAACAAGTACAAATACTTGCAAGATTGCAGTGGCTATATCTGTTGCTATGTGTAGTCAGCTGATTTTTGTTTCATGAAAAGACAACCCTTCAATGGCGCAACTATCCACCTTTCTTTCCTTTTAAGATCCTTGAAGGGTTTTGACAGCATTTTACCATGACAACAGCTAGATTCAGTCCTGTTTAGTTGCAAATAGCATCAATTTTAATCCACAAATGCGGAGCTTCTTAAGTTTATCTATACAGGAAAATACATTTTTAACATAATTCTTAGAAAATATTTTTTTTTAAAAAGAATGCATTTCATATAAAATACCCATGGCTGCATTCAAGGCACACGTGTATCGAAACTCAAAGATGCTCATCACAAAAGCGTGAAAACACATTTACTGTGCAAACGCAGAAACAAACACAAAGGCACTCCCTCACAAACACACACAGGGAACAATATCATTTAAAACATGAACGAAGACTTATGTGCAGGTATAGTAAACAGAGAGGAAAACTGCGTGGAGCGTATTTTAAAGCTGTGGCAATCTGTTTATGGAGAATGTTTGTTATTTCTCTGATCCACTTCTCAACAATGCCTCAGGGATTGAGCCTAAACAGGCGTAGTTGATGCTTTCTTATGTATGGCCTTTATGCAAATGCAATGGTGACAGTGAGCAAAAACCTTTGATCTGGGCTTCTTTGTGGCCTTAACAGTTGAAGCAGCAGAAGCATCATGAATCTGACGAAGGAATGCAGTGTTGAAATTGTGAATAGAATCAGGGTAACCGGATAACTTTGCTTCTGTTGTAAATTAAGAGCTCATACTGCCTCCTGCCTTAGAAACCCTACATTATCATGAGGTCAATGACTGTATCTGCAAATAAATTGGCTTTGACAACACTGCAAAACAAGTTGTTAGATGGTGAGCTAACACACAGAGATTCTCCCCAAATAAAGAATTATAAAGCTTTTTGTAAGTGTGATGAGATGATGAGCAGTCGTAATAACAGGGTCTTCACCTAAAGCCATTCCTTTCTACTCATAGTCCCTGCCTGGATCATAATGTAAAAAAAATGAGCAAATTAATCCAGTAATTGTCTCTTAGTTTACTGGTTCATAAAAATTGAATGTGTTTTGAACAATAGCCACTGAAGTGAATCTGTTTTAGTGTTCCCTCTGGTTCTGCCAAGGTGGCAAAGCAGGCAAGTAAAAACATCTTTATCCAACAAATCTGGGAACAAACTGCATGCTCTCAAAACTGACTTGAATGACCAAAAGGTTTCATTTAGTTAAGACTTTACCATCTGTTCATTCATGTTGGTGTTTGTTGAGACACTATTTGGGAGATATTTGTCCTTTTGTTCAGGATTTTATAATTCATTGTCTGCTATGCTTTGGCGCAAAATGCCAAACATGAAACAAACGTAGAACAATGCACGCTACACCAAACTCTACAAAATTAGTTTAGAATTACATTTACACATTTGGTGTTTTGTTGGAAAATAGATAGAGACAGGGTGTGGTCTCTATGCTGCTCTCATTCAGCCCCTATAAAAAAAACTGAAAACTTTATCTCTGTTCAGATCTAAGTTTCACTTCAGAATTATCCAGCTGAAACAATTGCAAAAACTCTTTCTTTGGATTGTACCCATGCACAACATAACATAATTTGTATCCAAAAATGTCATAAATGATCACAAACGCAAACACAAATAGCTGGAGTGAAAAGGTTTATTTTATTCGTCCTGTGTCAAGGTAAATACAGAAAAAGCTCCTGGTGTGATTTATTAAGCAATATGCCCTCGTTCTCGGGTGACTCATCCTTTGATTTTCATTTCTAAAGATGCTATTTTAAAAACGGATGCTATAGAAACAGACAGAGGCTTCGGCTTTAAAGGAGGGGATAATGCCATCTGGATTTATAAACAAACCAAACTCTGATCTTAAGCAGATTTACTGAGAGGTAATACCCGGGGTATACAGACACATGTCAGCAACAATACATCTGTTAAATCATGCGTGTTGCCAGGTAAATGTTGAGGTGGAGGGAATAACTTTGCAGCCTGTGACAGAGATATTAGTTATGATGGCTCTTTAGTACGACTGCTGGCCCATGGGTGTGAAAAGCTTATCCCACAACTCCACCTTCATCACAGCGTTACCCAGAGGGCTCATGGTGGCCTTGACATCTAGATATTTTCCCACGTAATTGATACCTGACCCAGTGGACTCCTCCCTGACAAACCCGTGCTCATGCTGTTTTTTCTCATAGTACATTTGTTTGTATAACTCCTTATCACAGATTTGGCCCTTTTTATAGAGGCCCACTGCGAACCAGTTCTTGTACAGGTTGTAGTCCCATGGAACCGAGAACATGATGGCCAGCGTCTCGATGTAGTCGTTCTGTGACCTCTCGAACAGGTCGTAGGTCATCACACCAATTGCACCGGTCGCTTTGCCGCCCGACTTAGAGAAAGTGCACACTTCTGTCTTTAGAGGGCGCACTGTAGGTTGGGGTGGGTTGTATGTCTCCCCATTCTCAAGGAACACCCTATAAGCAGCACATACAACAGACACGTATTACACATAGTCTTTTGGATCTATAACATACTTTTCAAACAAGTCTTTGAGTTCATGAGAAAATATCAGGACCTACCTTGGTTTGATGAGGCAGTAGTTGTTAGTGACGTTTGAGATTTCAATGGTAACACTTCTCTTGCTGTGCACATCGGCCGCTACAGCTTCAGCTGACTCCATTATGTTGGAATGGGTGTGAGATCTGCTTGTGAAGCAAAGGTAATTTAGGTGTTAGACATTTGAAATAAACAACATCCCAGCTGTGAATAACACTCCCCTCCAACCAGGAGGATCACACTTACTAAATATCAAATATCTTCCTGACCGCTGTTTTGCACCTAAACTGGCATGGGCGTGTGAAATCTAAACTCAGAGGCTAATGATATTTCAAAAACATTTGTGAAGAATCTGAATATAGCTGCAGACTGTCTATGTTATTACCACTTAAATTATAGCACTGAGTAGCATGCAATAATGAAGTTAGAGTGAAAACTGTGGAGAAAATGATCGGCCCTTTTATCAACAGATAAGATACACATCAAACAAATGCCCCTTCAGGCTTCTGAATGCCTCTACAAATTGCTTTTGTATTAATCTAATAAGTCATTTTCTGTACTGCGTCAAATCAAAGAGCTTTCCAAAAATGAAATAACTGACTTACCTGCTGTTGATGCTCCTAAGTCCGTAAATGCAAAAGGTTACCTGGAAGGGAGTTGCCCGCAGTTTTTTTTCTTTTCCTACAAGGACATATTCCATCCCCCAGCAAACCCTCCCACTTGTAACACAATACAACTTGGAAAGCAACCGCCCTCTTCCAACACATTTCTTTGGAAATACTCCTGTGTTTTTGCCTGTGAGATGAAACTGCCACACCTTAGTTTGTTGAAAAGTTTCCAGCAGTTTCCTGGATCCCAAACCTGTTTTGTAAGCCGGGATCATTAACTCAGCATATCCATTTTCTCCTACAGAAATGCTGCTACATGGACTGAGGTGGTTTGGTAATCTCAGTGGAATGGTGCAAAACAGACAAAAGCAAACTGAACAAGTTGAAACAGACATCTCTGAAAGAAAGGGTTGTCACTATAATTATCTTTTGAGGGGCTATGCTTATATTTTGTTTTGTTATAGTTGTAATTTCTAGTACCTTAGGGGTGCCGGGTCGGACTGGCACCAGTGGAAATGTGGCGCCATTTAAACAGTAACATACAACTTCATATTTTCATCTGGTATCTCAAAATACATTCCTGGTCAGAAATGAAGTTTTTTCTGGACATCCTACAGTGGTTCAGACCCCGGTTATTAACCAGTTTTGTGTTTTTTTTCAACACAATAACCACTAGAAAAGATGGAGAGTGTCAAAGCCAGTGAAGAGCAGTATTGTTATCATGCCAATTAAAAAAACCTCTAAGCAGATATTCCATCTGTTGCCACTCATTAGAATGAGATGGATCCAGCGTCGACATTAAAGAATGATTATTGTTCATCAGTAATAATGAAAGCACACTGAGTGAGAACATATCCCACACAACACAGGCATTGGGTGTAAATGTTTTATTATCATAATCAGATAAAAAGGGAGAGTACAATATACATAAACCCAAGAAGTAAGCTAATGGAGAATGAGCTGGCTGTCAGATATTGATAGCTTTCAGTGGACACAAATAGAAGATGACAGCAAAATCAGTCTTCCTCTCCCTTCTATGTTTCTATGGATGTCACATGAAGCAAATCAAATGAAGTTTATTTATTATGTTACAAAGCACAGAACTAACGACCCATTTTATCATAGAGCTCCAGTTTAACAATTGCTTTGCCAATAGCAGACATTGTAGCCCTCAAATCAACATATGTAGCATGGTACTCCAGCCCACAGCCGTGTGTCTCTGAGCGGACAAACTTAGTGAGGTCTTTCCCATCGTACAGCATGTTGTACAGCTGCTTGTCGCAGGCATGGGATTGTTCAACCATGCCCACGGCCAGCCGGTTCTTGTACAGGTTATGGTCAAAGGGCACAGAGAACATGACGGCCATGCGCTCTGAGCAAACCCGGCTCTGCATATGGAACAGGTCGTAGGTCAGCAGGCCGACTGAGCCCGTGGCAGTGTTGTCGTCCTTGGTGAAGGAACACACTTCGGTCTTTCCAATCCGGACCGTAGGCTGGGGCGGGTGCTGACAGAATCCACTCGACATGTATACCCTACACAAAAGAGCCAGAGACAACCCTTACTGTCACAATCAAGATAACTTACATGTCACTCTTACAAGACTTTTGATGAAAAACAAGAGTTTGGCAAGTTCTTTGGACATTGTCAGTGTACTTTTCAAGTGTTGGGCTTTCCAGGGTCCCCGGAAATATATGTTGATGGATGGAGTGTGACTGTGCCAGTACTGCTGTGGACTTCTAAGCAACAGTGAGTGTACCTGCATGCAATGTGCAATGAGGCGTTGTGTGTCACTGCATGATGGATAGGTGGATGTTCTCAGCAAAGTGATGTCACACATGAAAACCACCCATCCAAGATATGGTCTGTCCTGCCTCAGCTAGATAAATGTGGAGGTATGGTAGGAATTCCAATAGATATGGGTCGTTTCTGTATTTTATTGTTTTGTTTTATTTATTTCCTTTTGTTAGCAGAAGTGTAAGAAACAGGCAGAGACCCCATGTGGTTGATTGACAGTTTAACTCTACTTTAAATTAAGTACAATAAAAGTACATTGAATTAACATTGACTTTTAATGCTGTTTCTATGACTTCTGGAGAGAAAAAGTTGTGGATACTACACTTCCGAAAGCATTGCATGCTAATAGTATCAAGATGCTAATCTGGAGCTATAATCAGGCATTGCGATCTTAAAGCACTTCAAAGCAAGTTAGTAAATCTTTTGAAAATGAATACTTCTCCCTGAAATCAAACCTCTCCCCAAACTTGAGTAATCTAACAGGCCATGATACTAGTGCAAACAACTATGTGGATTCAAGTGACTCATAGATTGAGCTTTTGATAAACTGACATTTTCATCACATTATCATTGGATGTATGAGGACATTTATTCATTTGTATTTTTCCAGTAAAAATAATTGTGCCTGAATTAATCATTTGCATAGGTATGTGAAAACAGTTACAGACTTACTTGGGGTTGATGAGGCAGTATCCAGCGCTGAGGTTGGAGATTTCTATGGTGCAGTTTCTGTTGGTGGTGAGAGTGGCTGACACAGCTTCTGCAGTTTCTGTCATCATTTCTGCAAAAGGAACGGGACGGAAAGCTTAGAACAGTATATCTGCAAAGAGATCACCCTCAGGCAGGAAATGTGGAGGAAGTGGATACTTCTCTTTTGTTTAAGGAGGGTGAAGGAAGGTCGGAAAAAAATGCATATTTTAAAGCCAAATCAAGATGTTCCTTCTTCAATAACACAACTCCTGAAAACGATTTATCCGTACATATTCTTTAGTCTGTGTTTACAAATATTAATAAAGCTTATATGAGAACTGTTGTTATTTAAGAGTACATCATAACAAAGACATAGTTCACACTTAATTTATTATCTTGCTATAAGTAGGAGTAATGACAGTATATTCACCTTTTGGAGTTAACACACGAGTCGTGCTAGGCAGCGTCAAGTTTCCTTTTTCACAGATCCAGCAGAGAGGTGGAGAGTGTCTCCCTTGTGTGATTACACCTCTACAAAGCTTGTTCCAACACAAGCACAGGCGTGTCCACCGAGGAGTTAGCAAACACCATCCCTTATGGTAAATGATATCTTAATAAGAGACACTCGGGCCACCTTATAATATCCCACCATCACACTATAAAGTAAACATCATAAATAATTTTAATGAGGGGAGCCATCAAACTAATTCATGTATTTATTAGACAGCATCTGTGTCAGCAATGTTTGCCTTCACAGCAGACATGGGTGGTATTGATATTATTTTTGTATGTTGAGGCTTGAGGTGATTTTAAAGAAAATGCGTACCTAATGCAGCACATTTTGTGAAAGCTTATCATATTATCTACTCTGTAGTTTAAAATGTTTTAAATAGTTTTTCTTTAGTTCTTTTTAAAATTGTAATTCATTTTAATTTGCTAATCTTTTCAAAGATATGTCCTTTTTGCCTTTGTTGGACCCTTTGCAGCTCAAACAAAGAACCTTATGGAACATTTCACGCTGTGACTGGCTTAGAATGTAGTCACTATTCCCCAAACATTGCTCAACTGATTACTTTTTTGCAGGTGAAGGCTTGCAACTTTTTCCTGTGGGAACCTAACTACACCAGTCACACATTTCAACACACTGTCTGACTCCTATATCACTACATATTTTACTCCCACAGCAGTGTGGGGCAGAAGAGGAGACACTCCCTTCTAACATGTAGGAACAATAACAATGTATTATATAACACAGCATTGTACTATGCGGTGTTGTATTTATCCGTAAGATTATACAGACTGAGGGTCTGCTCAATTAAGTATGTTTTGCAAACTTAGTCTGTTTCGAGAGGTATTCATTATTCCACCAGCCAGCTCAAGTTATATTATGGCAGCTGTTCTATATCATACATCAGGCGCCTGGAACTAGATTTAAATCCTTCAACTCCAATGCTTGAAGTCACCAGATGGCACCAAATATGCATTTGCAAAAAGACATTTGCACTACATAGACTTTTTCAATTAATGTTTGCTTTCTGATGGTTAGCCAGTGACCATGGCAGAAAGTCTGTGACAAACATTACATATTCAGCATGCCCGTCATTATGTCCTGTGAAAAGGGCAAGGCTGCATTCAAATAGTCATATAGGTGCAATACTTAATATAATATATATAATAATAATTAAAAATATAATGCTATAAGTATAAATAGAAAGAATGAAATAAAGTTGGTCTAGAATTACATTTTATGCTGAAATTCCTTTTTTTTGTATCTTCAAAATTAGAAATCTTGACAATCTGTTCAATCCAAGAAAAAAGATTAAGCCCCAACTTCCCATGGCACATCAAACCAAAGAACCACTAGTCTTAGAAATACACTTCAAAGATTTTAAAATGCAACAAACAAAACAACCAAAACTTCTATTTACTACAATAATTTGACAGCCATTGTCGTGCAACACAACATTATTTATTCAGAAACACATTATCAATGGATCTGTCAGAATGGATTTAATGTTCCTCCATATTTGATTTAGCAGGTGAGTTAAGTTGAATCACTTCGAAGACTTATCTATGCAGTTTCTGAGCGCAGTCTGTAAGAGGCAATTAAGAAGGTGACAATACGCGAGTCAGTCATTTTTATTCATAGGTTACTCTTTTAAAGATAACCATTTATGGTGACAAAGATAAATGTATGCTTAACATGAAACCATGTTCAATAATGGTGGCTTTAGTATCAGTATCTTAACCTCTGCATGTCATTCAAGTGACTTTTTGTATGTTGGACATTTTCCGGTCAAATTCCTATATGAGATGTTCATATCTGACAGATCTAAGTTGAAGCTGAACAAAAACAACCCTAATTATTACTGAAAACTCTGTTCCCATTAGCTTGCTTGTTTACTCGTTTGTGTGTTCAGCCTTAATTAAACTGTAAAGTGAAATGTTATGTCAGCATGTTGTCACCAGAAATTTCTCTACCACACTGAAAACAGCTGAGCAATGGAAGTTCATTTGCGGCAAGACCTTGATGACATTAAAATGTTTTTGTTGGCTTTAGAGTCACTATGTGTGACAATCAAAGGCTTGAACCCGCAAGCCCACTTTGTGATTAGGGCCAAGATAAGCTTAAAGGTTGCAATAGGAAGTACGGAGGACAAAGGCCAGCGAAAAGGTAATCAGCACTAAGGATGAAACAAGACACCGGGCAGCATTTGGCAAGGAAAAAAGCAACGGTCACGACAGTCGCTCATCCATGTGCTCTGTCAGTTAGCAAACTTGTAGCTTAGCTTAGCTGCTGACAGCACAACCATTTAATAGTTAAATCGTTTTAAAGAAACATCATCTCGTGTCTCATCTGCAAACCATTCCTCTGTCGTCAAACACGTTTTGAAACAGAGGAGGTTAAATGAAAGTGAACCGAGCCCCACATCTAACCTCCCTGTCCCCTGAAAGGTCAGCACTGTCAGGGCTGCTTGCTATTTGTCAGTGGCCCGATGATTCTATTGGAATTGAAAGTGCCACAAAATGTCTCCGTTATAAATCCTGGGTTGCCATCAAATGGCCTCTTTTGCTTAGGAAAGTTCCCAACTGAGTGAAATGACCCGGAATGATCCATGTGTGGGAAGAGCTGGTTGAATTCTCCAATTGCAAAGGAAAAGGTGCTTCAATGTTTCCATTATATCTTTAGGAAATAAGTTTCTTTAGGACGTGAGATAGCCTAGTGCAAGTGCAGTCAGATTCTCTTAAAAACGCAGTTTTGTTTACCAAGTCCTGATTAATTGTCCTTCATATTTTATCCTGACATCATCATGCCCTTCAACAAATTCAAGTATAAGTGTTAAGCTAAAGCACTTTTTGATTGTTTGACTGCAGGCCTAGTTTGACCAGCCTTTTGGATCTTACTTGTATGCAGATAAGTAGGTGTGCAGACAATTGATGTACTGTATTATTATGATGTATCAGGTGACACACTAGGGACACCTGGTGGGCAGGTATGGAATAGCATGTCTGAAATAGCAGGAGTTAAATGAATCACTCTTTTAGAATCAGATGAAGAGGAGCTGCAGGGACGAGGAGAAAGAGCAGCTGTTGCCATGACTCTATCAGTAAACAATCCACAAATGATTATGGTGGCGTGTCACAATATGTGTAGAAATATGAGACTGTCAGGTTTCTAATCTGGTTTAATATATTTTTCCTCAGATCAGGTGCACAAGGTTGGAGCCTCAAACGAAAACAAGAGCCTCTTCCACTCATTTGTATAGGGGAAGTTAAACATATCAATATACCATCATTATATTTGAGAGCACATAAGGGGATCATTTGCAGCCACACTGAGTCATAGCAGGAAATTCACTCCTGAATGTACAGCATATAAAACAATAAAACATACAAATCCACCACAATTCCTGCTTATTCTTCGTGGCAGTATAATTAAGAAGTCTGATATTCATGAATGATTTTACATTTGAGTAAAGCGACAACTTTATGAGTTGTTACAGTATGTATGTAGTCTCCAATATGTGCTTTTGTTTTCGCGTGTCTGCCTCCAAGCTATTGTCCATTATCACACACACAGTCAAGCCTTGTCATCCAATGCTTGATGGCTGATTTTCTTTTGACCTTTTCCCAGAAACACTCTTTCACTTCCAAATGTGTTATCGACATTACGGAGCTCTGGGAAGGAGAATTGGCCACTCAGGACGTGAGGAAACAAACATGATCGTAAATTGTTCCCCCGGTGCTAGCTTAGGCAGATGTGACCAGTTTTGTATTGATATTACTTTCTACTACAGCAGGAATAAGTCCTTATATTTTGCTGCTATTTTATAGTCTGGAGATAAATCATTGCAAAAAGTTTACATGGTGACCCTTTTTTTGTATTAAAGGTGTAATTGCTTATTAAATCCTAAAAATGTAGATAAGAAAACACTAGTTTTGCTTTTGGTAAACACTAACACCTAATGATTTATGGACACATTCATTTTCCATCCTATTCAAGTCTGCATATGAAGTGAACCACTTTGCTGCTCTGGTGATGTGTAGCTTAAGTGGCATCTCTCTCTCTCAAAACACACTCTGGTTTTGTTTTAATCTCTGTATTTATGCTGTTATACATGATGATAATTGTTATTAGATGTGTAATGCAGAGCTTTTACCTTTTAGACCATTTATTTTATTAAACACTAGCCTTGCTTTATAATTATTTCATTCATATTGTAAAATGTATTAATGAAAATCCTCTGTTAGTTTCTGAAGCTCCTATTCTGTCAAAAATATTTTCAGAACATTTTCCTATTTTATTAATAGATATGTCCAATAAACGCTAGAACATGGACAAAGCATGAACATACAGTATGTAGGACACTCAAACACAAAACAGGTTTTTCTTGATTTGTTCTTGTTAAGAATATATTTGTTTACCAATTTTGAGTTATTTTAATACTATTTGCATAATGGTATGAAAAGAACATTGCTGATGAAAAGGGCAAGTCACTGTGGATTATTCTTTTCTGGAATGCCTTAACAACATATTTTGTTACAAAGATTTGAGGTAGAAATTACAAAGTCAGTCAATATAAGAATGTGTAAAATGTAATGATGTTAATATAATAAAAATGATTAAATTATTGATAAGGATATTATTTATCTTTCCATAAAAGAGGTTGCACTGTACTGTTTGTTCATCGACACTATAATGTAGTCACACGCATAAGTATATTTAAAGTTTCCAATTAAAACTTATTCTATTTTTTGCTATTGCCTTTGTCATCGGCTCATACACCAGCCTCTACCATTTGGGTTTGACTTTTTTAAATTGGCAAATAAAAGACACATATACAGTAACTCTATGTTATTAAGCACATCAAGAGAAGAAATATGTACCTACAACAATCATTTATGATCCAATTAAAGTACCGATGATGTGATTAGTTTTCTAAAGTCCTGGAATTGAACTGTGTTAGAACGCAAGGGGACATGTTCTTTTAAAATAAATCGATTTAAATTGTGTTTTATTTAGGGGTATTCTGAGTTGATTAGATTTCAAAACTGCGCTGC